ACCTTGGAACCTATCTTCTTGAACTGGAGAGACGAAAGAGCCCCCTTGCACAACAGCACAAAACTGTACAAGAAAAAGCAGACAAGGTGACATTCAATGCTATGCTGAGTGTTTACTGGCTAGCACATGAAGAGATTGCCAATGTGAAGTTGAAGTCATTGTTAAAGCTAGAAGAACAGGTTGGTCTTCAAGAAATGAGTCACTGGAAGAACACAAGTGAACGATGTCAAAGGGAGCAGAGATTGCTACTGGGGCAATTACTGAAGAAGACGACGCTAGCACGAATCAAAGAAGCAAAGTGGTTCAGCATCCTCGTTGACGAAGTGACAGATTGTGCTGTGATCGAACAACTCCTCATTTACATTGGTTATGTGGACGAGACAGGCGAGACCCACTTTGACTTCTTGGAAGTTAAAGATTGCCTTGCAACATCCGATTCTGCTGATGCTGAAACGATCACCCGTTTAATTATTGAGGAGCTGAAAGAAAGTGGCCTGCAAGTTGAACATGCCTGTGGATTCGGTTCGGATGGTGCCAGTGTGATGACAGGAGCCCATAATGGTGTTGGTGCCAGACTACAAGCAGTGTGTCCTCTTCTCATAAGAACGCACTGTATAAACCATAGATTGGCTCTGGCCTGTGGAGATGCGAATGATCGGGTCAAATTCATTACCACAGTGGAAACTACGCTCAAGCAGCTCTGGAAGTGGCTCGAATACCCCAAGAGATGCTCTGCATACATCAAGGTCTGTGAAAGTTTGAGGAAAATTCAAGTGCCAGATGCTGCGCAGAAGAAGTCATTGGCTGTAAAAGTCCAGAAGGCCTGCAGGACACGATGGCTGTCAACAGGGCAAAGTGTATCAAGTGTTTGTACAAATTTGGTGGCACTGATGCAAACTCTCAGAAAATTCAAGGAGCATGATGCCACAGCTGATGGGTTGCTAAAAAGGATGAATAACGTCAAGTTTGTGGGTACCCTTCTCATCTTAAACGAAGTTCTTCCTCACCTTAACACCTTAAGTAAAGTATTCCAACAAAACAAAATCCATTATTCTGCCATTAAGCCATCATTGGAATTGACAAAGAAGAGAATCACTGAAATAAGATCCAGTTGCAAGCCACTACATGTCCTGAAAGAAGCTTTGATGGGCCAGTACAAAGATTTAGAACTTACTCTTCCCTCATCACAGGAAGAAGTATTGGTCAACCTGTGCCAAAGCTACACTTTAGCACTAGAAGAGAACCTGGACAGACGCTTCACTCAAGCTGCTCCAGTGTTAGAGGCCTTCAGCATCTTCAATCCAACCACCCTGCCTGCTACCACTGATCCTGAGTTCATGGAACATGGTGTGGCCAGTGTGAAGATTTTAGCTGATCAATTCCAATTCAGTGAAGATCAGATGACAACCCAGTGGCAGAATTTCAAATACCTCATGCTATCCTGGAAGCCACCTCAGAATGTGCTGCAAGGTGGGAAGGAGTCCAAACTATCACCCACCGAATGGATTCTTCGTAAAATCGTGAAAGAGCAAGCACTACTCAGAGAAAGCTACAGCTTTTTGGTGGATGCTGCAAAGATCTGTCTGACACAGCCAATGTCAAATGCTGTTGTTGAAAGAGGAGCCAGTGCTGTCAAAAGGGTTAAGACAAGGCTAAGAAACCGCCTGAAGAATGACATGCTGTCGACATGTCTTCATGTTTCAATCAATGGACCAGAGCCAAAGTCCGAAGAGTGTCAAGTAATCCTGGCAGAGGCAGCACAAGTATGGAGGAACACCCACAAGAGAAACCTACCTCCATTGAACCTCCCAAGGATTGGTGGCAGTAAGCACGGAGATGCAAGGATCACTGAATTGGCAACTGTTGCCACTCAGACTGAGACACCTGGTAAGTATTACTGGTAATATAAATAACTTCAAATCAAACATAGCCCCAATTAAAATTAAGATTACACAGAGATAATAGCTTAGAAAGAAACAAAAAATAGCCAGTTATTGAGTTAAGAACTGATGTTTATTTCATTCTATTGCAGAAAATATGGATGTGATATCGATGGAAGAAGAACCCCAGCTAGTAACTCAGGCATCAGCCTTCGCAAACAGTGTTCACAAGGCACTTACTGAGATGGACATGCTAGATGAGTCGTCTGATGTAGATTCAGACTTCGAGTTTGACGTTGATTTCTAGACATTTTAACACACTATCAGATCTTTAAACTATTTTTGAAGTATTACAGAAAAAATTGAACTTTGATGTTGGGTGCATCGCATTTCTGAAGTTTTTCTCAAAAATGTAATATATGTGAGAAGGTGGATTAATAAAAGTTCTATCATCATGGCAGTCATCTTCCAAAATGCACTTTACGAGCTCCAAATTGCAAAATTTTTCCAGGGGAAGGCCACCCGGACCCCCCTATGGGAGGGATGTCCTCCCTCCCATACTCTCCCCCCACACGCGCCAAGGGCATGTGGAAGGCACTGTCGCGCCTTAAAGAATTTTCTCTGACGGCTACTCCCCTTCGTTCTCCTTCTACTTCAAAATTTCAGGAGAACCCTGGGTTGCATGTCTACTTTCCGGTCAAGTTCCCTTTTTCTTCAGGCAGGACTGCACTAGGATCTACAGTAGTTCACTCTGGTTTACTGGCCACCAGGAGGAATGACTATACTATTACTAAATTGAACGTTTGTTTCTTCTTAAAATAAAATCGAAGCTTTCGTGTAAAGAGTGGGTGATTTAAAAGACAATTTTAAAGCGACTTTGCTTTGATAAGGTTTCCAAGGGTTTATATAAGGTTTATATAAGAAATAGAATCAAGAAAACATACCTTAAAAACCTCTGAAATCGGTTTTTGTCCTTGTGGCCTAATGGTTAAGGCGTTGGCCTCCGGAGGCAAAGTCTGTAAAATGTCAGTTTGGCGGATGGAGAATTGTCCATTGAAGGTCAAACTATGCTTATGTCCGGGAAATAGGCAAGGGGGAGTGGGTGGGGGCGTGGGTTATAGCACAGGTGTTACTTATTCCTGCGCTTTAGCGATGGGTGCCATCTCCTCAAATGAAAACGGCGGAAAAGTAACCCTGCGTAGCGTCCAACAGGCAAAAACGGTGGGAAAATGTTTGTGGAGTGCTATAAATTTGGAGGCCTAGAAAGAAAATTTTCACTCGCCCCAAGGAAAATGGCCAGTCAAGGCACAGGTACGGCTTCATTTCTTACACTTTTATTACAGGCAGAACGACAACAAACTTCACGGACTATATTAAAATCCGCGTTCCAGTACATTTAATGATGGGGATGATTTGTAGAGAATTTTTCCGTGAGAGTCAATTAAACAACAATTGTAAAATATTGTTTCACTCCAAAGGGGTCGCCCTGGAAGGGGATAAATTTTCCTGCATAAACCTGCCAGAGAACAGCACATTAATCCAACGCTTTACAGCCACCTTAAGTGATGCGGCAGGCGACACGGAGAGAACAAAAAAAATGTACGTGGACTCATTGGCACCCGTAACGGTAAGAGCTATTGTGTTGTTACGCTATACGTCGAGTGTCTGTGCTATAACAACACTGCCTCCACCAGTCTCTCACCAGCCGGTTTTTATTCCTACAGATAAAGTCCATATTTGATACCAGGAACTTGTTCCTAGCCTGGCACAAAGAGGTGAAGGCGGGGGCGGCTGTGACCTTCCCCTTGCAAGAGCTTGATATAAAAGCCTTTTGTGTGGCCTGCGCGAAAGCGAGCTTCGCCTACAAAAGGACAACAGAAAACTTCTTCCGTGGTCTTTGTATGTGGGTAAATGGACTGCAAAAGACCTATTAATTAAAAACAAAATTATCTTGCAATGCACTATTTGGTCGCCTGAAACTACATTACTTTTGTAACAGGTCAAAATGTCTTGCATAATATTCAGCCATTTTTTTTATTTTTGGAAGTAGTTCGTCTACCTTTTTAGTGCAGCAATAAAATAAGTTGTATTTTCTATGTTATAGATTAGACAAGTATGTTTTAATACTTAATTCTAGATGAATATATTCATTGCCAAATTACCTAACTCGGCTATAATGATTGCATTGCGCTTGTAATAATCGCACCATTCATCAATGAATAATCTTAAGATGGCCAGTGGACTGCATCGTCTGGAAACATACAACAGTAACAGGCCATGTTGTGGGAGAACGTGCTTCAGATTTTAAGTCCAATCCAATTCTTACTGATATGCCGGTTCCTTCACTTCCAGCAAATTTCCAAGGGGCACAAAAGCCCAGCTAAACAGTTCCCTGAGTTGGGGAAACACTCAGCCGGTTCTTGAGAAAGGAAGTGGGGGAAATGGATTCCCACCCCAAGAAGCCAATGTTTGCTCAAGACTTTGAGCACATTCCTGATACCATTGGCGTCGAAAGTCCAGCAGCATTGCAACGTAAGTGAATGAAATGGAAATACTGTGATACATTATATGACACTACCTTTTTGGAAATAAACTTTTAAACCTCTGGATTTCTCGCCATAAATATTTTTCTTATTGGCGTGTGTTCAAGGAAGAAAGCTTTTATTAAAAGAGTGTTATAATTATGTATTGTACAATTGATGTATATTAAACTGAGACGATTATCATGTGATGGTTGAACATCCTTGTTGAAATATCCCACAATTATTATGACCTAGAGAGAAAGGATTCAAAACTCAGCACTGAGATTTGACATGGCATGCAATACATGTTCCTTAAAAGGACATGCAGGCGTAAACATAAATTCTACAGATATGTAAGTTCAAAAATTTCTGGTAATGAGTATGGAAGAGTAAAAATAGAGACATGTAGGAAGCATTACATAACTTATGCCCGCTTTTTTTTTTTCCAGTATCGTTCCTTCACAGTTTGTCTGCCCACTGTGGGGCCAGAGCTGGCACTATCGTGCAGACATATTCTACCCCTGAATATAGACATCTCAGGGAAGACATGGGTTTGGGGGAGTTTCCCCTTCCCTAGGGCATCAAAGTTGGAGATGTCATGTTCAGGTACCCTTGTTAAATTGTTACTAATCTGACATAAACTAGCAAAACTGGCTACTTTCTGCTTTTGGAGCATATCACATTTTTGGACCTTGAGACTCAGCACTTATTCACACTGGGAGTCTACTTGAGATGAGGATGCACATACCAATTTCTGCCTGTTTAAGTCACTTACAAGTTTCCACTGCAATGAAGCAACGAATCAGAATAAAATGCACTCAAACGTAAGAACTCCAACGTTTTGTCTGTTCATCCCAGGAGACCTCAGAAAAGTCTCTAATAATACCGAGTTGAGTTTCCATGCATAGCCATAAAGGAATTTCCATTTTTAGGGGTAGAAGAACATCAACATCGACCTCGATGTCACAACCACCAGAGGGTCATGGTGTTACCATGGAGGTTGTTTTTCGCCATGAGAAACCTGACGCAACCAACATGTCCCACAAGTAAGGATTAATTATGATCCTTTGGACAATATCAAAGTTTACTTACAGTTATTAATGCGAACGGTCTCCATAATATATGCACCTCCTAAGATTGGTCAATCAAAACGGACCTTTGGATAATGTACGTGAGAGAGAGAGAAAGAGAGAGAGGCTGGATTTAGACAAAAGTTTTATCAGCTAAAGCAGAGTAACATTGCATGAAAGATGTATATGTTTATCAGTGGATTCAAGTCAATATTAATAAGGTGTGCAAAAAAATATATAATTCTGAAACTAGGTATTACCCTTTGATAAAATAGATCTAAGCTTGGATTACAATGCTGCAACAGTCAAAGTACGGTTAGATAAAAGAGTTGTACATTGTTTGCAGGGTCCATGGAGGAACAAATTGTCTTGCACAATTAAGCACTCCTACATCCTACAGACAATAATTCTGCTTTTGTTCTGTTAGTAGCCGCTGGGCCTATTTTCGGTAAGGTCGTTTGCTATTACATTCTTCCCATTGTTTAAAGACAACTTGATTTTCAAACCATATTTCTATTTATGCATAGTCGAGTCTTCACATACACAGCCCTAGAAGATGGAAGTCCATACTACCCCGTTGCCTTGGGCTTCTTACACCTCGCCCGGCGCACGGTATTTCTGAAGACTCCCCGTGAGGCCTGGGAAAGGCAAAATTTCCAACTGCGAGGAGGTGTGGCAGACTGGCCTCTGTTTTGCCAGACGGACAAGTCTACCCACACTCTCAAGGTGAGATCATACATTTACATATCAGTGTACTTGTTTGGGAGAAAAGAACGTGACATTTATCCCTCCTATGCTATGACACTAATATTACATGTTAACCACGTGTATAAAATTGCGTGATTGGATCACATCTTCCTAATAGAGCTGTCGGGGCGAAGGTGCCCATTTTTGGACGGGGGGAGGGGTAGATGGTAGGGTTATTCATAATATCTTTTTGTTTGGTGCATAATGATGTGCTTTTTTTTAACCTTTTCATATTCAGCCAGAACAGCTCGATAATGTACAAACACGAACAATGATCCAAAATAGTGTCCTTGATGCGGGATTCGATGTGCGGGATCTGTCGCTCAAATCCTACAGATCTGTAAGTACACCTGCATCTTTCTCCGACTTTAATGGCCCTAGAGATACCTGGACTTAGACAGTTGTGAAACACTTACATTCGGCAACTGTAATCGTTCAAATCTCAAAGCCAGAACGTGAATCAGGTGATTGCAAGTAACGATGCCACTTGCTTGTGGATTTGTCTACACCAGTTCTATGCAATACAGTTTGCAGATGATGAAAGGGCGTAGGCACATCTATGTTAAAAAGATCATACAGCAGTACTCGGACAGTGCTGGTCTACTAACTCCTGGTAGGTATTGATTGAAGTTGCACACGAGAATAAGAGAAAGATAGGGACTGTGATTAACTATGTATTTTATGTGGAGAGCATAGCTTTCTAGGGACAACACACTATACATCTGGTTAGAACAGCATTAGTCAAAAACGATATGAATTTTTTGTCAGGGTTCCTTTAATGGTGTTATGACCCCAAATTTCCAAACAGATGTCCTGTTGGTTGGAGCAATACCACTTCAAATTGCAGATTGCAATAAGGTTGGAAAGTAATCCGTTGAAAATTTATTTGGATGCCCATTAAATTTAGCTCATGCATACACAAATGCAGATGTGCCCTTGATGTCATCACGAAATGAATCACTTACCAGCAAGAAGTGCATGTGCCTTTTCTTATTGCAATATTTGAGGAAAAACTGTGCTTCATCAGTGTGAGTAATAACATTCCTTTTCCCTTTAAAGGATTACGAACCCCTGAAGAGAGGGTGCAATTCCTTCGAAACATCCCGACAGCGTTTAATTTTATGTTGGAAGCTCCCCTCAGGAACCTGAAAACCCAGGCCGATGCAGAGAAAGAGTATCCTGAGGAATTTCAGGCATTCTTCGACAATTACGAGCCACTGAGGAAGGAACGAGGTGAGTTAAGAATTGCCAATCTCCGTCAAAAACTTTGACATTAATCCGGAAATAGCATCTTCAATCCTTATGACCTTAACTTGAGATGGCTGGGCGCAGAACCCATATTGCACAACACCAGAAAATGATATCATGACTATCTGTTTTCCAAAAGGAAAATCATGCATCATGAATTATAAAAATAGTAAAGCACACACCACTCTGCCCCGCCTAATCACACTTCTCAAGGCTACTTTGAACCCAATCACACATCACGCTGATAATTTGGGACCCATCACACATCACAGAAAACCCATTTACCACCCTTGTGAGACAAATGGTTCATCTAGACATGCAAACCAGTTGTTGCATTTTTTTGTAAATTTTTAATTAAAAAATTTCTTAAGTTTACAAAGAAGTTTACATCAGACTCATATGCTTCTGGTTTACGTACAAAATTAAAGTTGGGAAAAAAATAAAAACTGGCCATAAGTTGCTGCACTTGGAGACTTTGAAATACGGGATATAGGATGTCTGTATAATTATACCATTCAAGAGAAAGAGCAACTGTACCACAAATCACGGCAAAGTTCATACCACTCGACCAATCAGCTTGTATATAGAGAGGGAAGGTCTTTCCTTGACCAGGGTGTAAGTGCATGAGGCTCTCCAAAACAGGACCTAAATTTCTCGTAAGGAAAAAAAAAGTACTTTGTTTGTTGTCATAGAAAGAGTTTGGTACCCTTCTCTCCTTTACAGGAACACGTTTAAAACCGAGCTGCTACAATAAAAAATCAAAAATTGTACTGTTTATTGAATTGATTAACAATAATCTTTGTCTCTTTTCTCCACCAGGACTGTGATCCGGACATTTTCCCTAACATTAACCATTTGCTGCGAATTGCTTGCACTATACACCAGTCACTTGAGCTGACAACAAGCAAGCAAACAGTACTTTGACGCTTGTCAAAGGATATTTACACTCCACCATGGGAACGGAAACACTGTCACACTCGGCTATGATGGACATTTATTACAAAAAACCCGATGACTACGATGCAGTGGTTCAGCTTTTAGGCGAAAGATACCCCTCAAAAATGCTTCTTGTTGATCCCGTCTTTGACGAAACACAAATGGAGTATATTTTTATCATAGTTTTATAAATGCAAATTTGCATCTTTGTTACACAGTTCTTAGTTATATTTTGATGCAAAAAGAATGTCATTTTCACTTTAAAAAATGACATATTAAAACACACTGACTCTGCCTCCGAGGACTTGAAATTTCAAAACCCTAGAACCAAAACCCTGGATCCGTCCCAGATTACCTGTGAGATGCCAAAAATACAATTGCCACAAATGACAGGACAGTAATTACTGGGCTTATGAAAAAGATGCTTCATGATGCTTATCAGAATTTTGTTGCCTGTAACATAGCATCCAAATATCCATATCTTGTCAAATACTTTGAAGGACTTTGGTCCAGAAAATCAGAATGGGCACTGCCTTTGAGGAAACATCTCATGCCTTGTGGTAATGTCTAATAAGCATGTGCAATAAGCTATGCAAACACCAAGCTGCTACAATAAAGAAACACCAATTTCACGCAAGAATTATGGTCCCTTTGACATCACCAACAGTGCAACACTAGTATGTAGTGTTAGCACTGGGGTAACGCAACACTCAGCCAATATCATTCTATGCAAGTCTCCATAAAAAAGGCACAGCGGGTGGGGCAGACAGGAATGGTTTGCCTGTGATGAAAACGGCGTTTGCTGAGAAACAGAGCAAATTGAACATGACGGCTCAAAAGATTCACCCTCCACTGNTGCCACAAATGACAGGACAGTAATTACTGGGCTTATGAAAAAGATGCTTCATGATGCTTATCAGAATTTTGTTGCCTGTAACATAGCATCCAAATATCCATATCTTGTCAAATACTTTGAAGGACTTTGGTCCAGAAAATCAGAATGGGCACTGCCTTTGAGGAAACATCTCATGCCTTGTGGTAATGTCTAATAAGCATGTGCAATAAGCTATGCAAACACCAAGCTGCTACAATAAAGAAACACCAATTTCACGCAAGAATTATGGTCCCTTTGACATCACCAACAGTGCAACACTAGTATGTAGTGTTAGCACTGGGGTAACGCAACACTCAGCCAATATCATTCTATGCAAGTCTCCATAAAAAAGGCACAGCGGGTGGGGCAGACAGGAATGGTTTGCCTGTGATGAAAACGGCGTTTGCTGAGAAACAGAGCAAATTGAACATGACGGCTCAAAAGATTCACCCTCCACTGATTCAACTGCAGTTATGACGCCACATTGATCTTATTGCTTGCAGAGACATTGGTAGTCTTGAGAATAGTGTTCAATGACATAATTTGATAATGAGTAACGATTAAAATTTAATTCAGGGTCTACGAAAATTAGTGCAAAGATAAAACAAACTTAGAGAAAGAAGTGAAACTTGCAATACAATCCCTTGAATTGCATCAGCAATATACACATTTGCCAGCAGACACCTGAACAGCTAAAAGACGACAACTAAAAAGAAGCTTGGTACAGTTCACTGTAGCAGGGAGATGAAAACAAGGAATATTGAGGGGGATGAAGGAAACACAGCCAGGTAGGCCTCCGAACGACTTCATCTGAACCCAAAGGTTTTGTTGGCTTAAACTAGAGAAATGAAATGCACCTTCCAAAACAATGCGAAGGACCCAAATTTTGTTGACAACTTTGAATAAAAACCATTAATTTTGCAAACGCTGGCATCCTTAGGAGAGGAAGAAGACCTCGCAGATCATGAGAGCTAAGACAATTGATCTCATTCAAGATACAGCAGGCAAATTGTCCATTTCAATGCAAATGACATGCCTGATTTTGTTCGTGATTTGGTGGGCAGTAAGAAGTGGAAGTCCACATTTGGTAACCGCTGTGAAAGCAAGATAGATCACGAAGAAATCTTCCTCGCCAACCTTGCAGCTGAATATAAAAGCGGCGAAGATAAAGAAACTAACAAGGCGATACCACTCCAGATGTCTAAACAGAAACAAAAAGTCTTACACTGGACAAACACTGTGGGACAGTCGCATTTCTTTATCTGGCACAACATCAGATGTATTCAAGTCACGAGTGGATGCTGCCAAAAACGTAAGTAGAATAAGAAGTTAACGTGATGAAAAGTGCCGACTTCTTTCTATCGTTGCTGTGGACTATTCTTAGTTGACGCTCCGAAAACTATTTAACTGCTCGTCAAAAACTGTTACAGCTGCAAGAGTAATTTTGGAATTTCCAAAATGGTGTAAAGCGAACTTACATTTAGACAGACCTTCCTGTAAATTTTAGAATGAACACCATGTTTGCAGGATTGTGCAACTTATGCGATGAATTTGGCCATTCAAACTTTGACAAACTATGTGAACCTATCACCGAGGTGTCATCAAAGTGCACTGGCCTTAATGCATCAGCCCTGGTCAAAGATGTGAGGAAGTATCAGAGGTTTTTGAAAACCACTTTCCCCAAACTGGAAGGGAAGCACTCACAGTGCATTGAATTATGCTTGTCTTGATTTAAAGAAAAGGTTAGAGGAAAAGTCAAAGGTTCATTCTTGACTATTTAGGCCATTTGCTTTGCACCAAACATCAAGGTGAATGTTACCAGTTTGTACAGAAGAATTTGAGACGTGGAGACTGTGTTAAAGTTATTGACTACAAAATGAAACTGGAACTGGGAATACGGAGCAGGAGATTCAGCGAGACAGACTGGTATGGCAAAAGGGGGTTATTGCTTCATGGATGTTATGATGTCACCAGATTAGGTAAACACGAACAAAGCAGTGAGGTTTTAGATTTGTGGTCTGATGACACCAAACAAGATGCTCTCTTTACTCAAAGTGCAATGGATATCTGCTTTACCTGGCTGGAAAGGACATTTCCGGGATTCTCCAGGATTCTCTCGGGTATGTAGATGATGTATTCCATATTAAATTNGTACAGAAGAATTTGAGACGTGGAGACTGTGTTAAAGTTATTGACTACAAAATGAAACTGGAACTGGGAATACGGAGCAGGAGATTCAGCGAGACAGACTGGTATGGCAAAAGGGGGTTATTGCTTCATGGATGTTATGATGTCACCAGATTAGGTAAACACGAACAAAGCAGTGAGGTTTTAGATTTGTGGTCTGATGACACCAAACAAGATGCTCTCTTTACTCAAAGTGCAATGGATATCTGCTTTACCTGGCTGGAAAGGACATTTCCGGGATTCTCCAGGATTCTCTCGGGTATGTAGATGATGTATTCCATATTAAATTATTATTTGTAAGCATCGCTAAATTTCTCACTTGTTGTTTGATTTCAGCTAAATCTTTCATTTTTACATATTTCAGTGGGACCAAAGCTTATGACTATCTATTAATATCATAGTATTTTAGCCAAAACTTGCAATCTGTCACTTTCTCTTTTGAAAATGTGGTTAGTACAAGATGTTTATGGTCCTAAAGTGGTTTTATTTAACGGGGCCCAGTATAGTTTATCACATTGACATTTTAATATTCGTAATAGTCAGTTATAGGCACGATGCAATAACAAAGGGTAACAAACACAAAATAACGAGTCACTGGTGCTAGTTCTCAAGGGAAGGATTCTAGATTTAAAGTGACCAGAATGATTTTGTGTTTTTGTTTGGGGAAGACATGTGTATGATAATTTATTCAAAAATTGTTTCTGGATGTATTTTAAAGTTGATTTAGTTGGGTTTTGATTCTTTGTGAGGAAATTAAAGCATTAAGTTATGTAAGGTAAGAGTATTGCTGTGCATAGTGTGGGGTGAGTGATAAACCTGTTTATCAGGATTAAATACATGTGACGGAAGTTCAGCGCCAGGCTCATGTACATATGCAAGCTGCTCCCACGTGAGTCATTATGCGATTCTAGCCAGCTGATGCATTGAACACGATTGTAAGCTTTTCCTGTCTGTGCGAATAATTATGGAAAGCTTTAATTTTGACATGTGATGGACGGCTACTAAACTTACAGAAACGAGTGTGGATATTCTCAAGAAAGAGGATCTTGATACCAAGAAAACCCTACAACTCCTCGCTCCGATGAATTTAGAGAACTTGGGGCTGCGCATAGGGCAGAAATGCGTTCTCGAAGCTGCACTGCAAAGTTGCAGAAGGATGTAAACGAAAAACCCTCACCGGGAGATGCTACTGGTGCGAGCGATCCAATCACTACAAAGTCACTAGGGAGCGATGGAGGTTTGGAAGAAATTCTGAAGAAAATTTGAAGTGCAGGCTCGCTGGATGAATCTCTTCTGGCCCAGGATCGACCGACTTTTCCTCGACAAAACCACTAGCATTAAACACTTCAACTCTTCCCCGACTAGATAAGGATCCGCATGTGTTCCTTGGCCTGCAGCAAAAAGGAACAAGCACTAAACAAGGTGAGAAACCTCTGTTAATACCAGATTTTGTAAACCAGGCAACTTATGACAATTGCGAAGAAGAGCAAGAAACTGGAAATAATTCTAGTGGGGCAAAAATTGTAATTCGCTCAGCGAGGGGAAAACCAAAATTAGAACATGTCACCCTTTCTATGTCGGTCGGCACAAACTCGCAAATTATGCACGAGCTCCTTTGAACAGGAAAATTGTCAGCAACCACTACCACCATCACCGCTTCGAATCCTATACACTCGCCTCGGCTTTGGCGTATGATAACGAGTATCGTAAATTACAGTGCGAATATGGCTTTCTATGGGGGAGCGACTTGCAACACCTTCATACCAGATTTCTGATTAAACACCGTCCTTTGCAGACCCCAGCTGCAACCTCGCCCAGCCCACAGAGATTTCCCTCACGCCTTAACCGCCAACCACAAACCTCACCCACAACTCCAATTTGCTACCAATAATTTAATTCGTTAACAGGATGCCTTTGGCCAAACTGCCGATTTCACCATGTTTGCTTGGTGCCAAATTGCTACCAGGGTCATCCACAGCACGAGCATCCAACTGTGCCCCAGCGTGACTTCTAATAGACCCACAAGCCATGATAACATCCCCACTGAACTGACAGGCCTGGATAGACAACCTTGAAACCCATCGTGACAGGGACTCTATTATTAACGGAATCACAAATGGCTTTGAAATAATTCCCAGCGATAGTGTTTTGAAAATAGCAGAAACTAACAACCACAAATCGGCAACCACAAGCGATGTACGAGACCAAGTAGAAAACCAAATCCGTGAGGAAATTAGCAAAGGCAATTACATAGTAACTAACACACATGAAGCTGACTACCGTTAGTGCCCTTGGGGCTAACCCAAAACCAGACACTGAAAGTAAGAGTATTGCTGTGCATAGTGTGTGGGAATGTAGTACAACCAAAATAACGTCAAAAACTGTGGGATTTTTGTAGGCTTTGTGTAGGGGTCTGTTTGGAGTTTTATTTGACACCCTAAGGAATTTTAATTTTTTTTTATTTCTGCCTTCATTCTCAGATCTTAGTCACTTGTCCATGTGACTACTGAACACACGCAGAGAGTTAGTCGCATGAAACCGTAGTCATATGGAAATTCTCAAGACATGACAAAAAATAGTGGTTTGATTTAAATAATTTTTTGTCGAATGCACTTGTCAAATACTTCACATGAAAAAGAAATATACAAGAAGGGGTAATAATATTTTATTCTTTAAGACTATGTATAATCCCACAATTTCAAAAACAGATCCAATGTTTTACACCTGGCACAGAAACCATAATTTCTATGTGGCAAAAAGACGACATCACTGTAATCTTTTGTATTTCTGTGGTTTGTAAGAATTTTTACATACATTTTAGTGAAAATGTTATAATGATATAAGATGCTCTTCTTTCCTCAGACAATGGCCCTCATTACCATAACACAGCAGTTCTGACATATCTCAGTGAGGTTAATAGTGTCTTAACATAAACCTTCTGGAATACAACAACTTTGAGGCTGGTGAGGGAAAGACAGCTTTGGATACACACTTTGTTACATATCACACAAGATTGTGATATATGTTCGTGTGTGCAATGACCTGGAGACAAGGGAGAGCTTGGGCAACTTGTTCAGGTAAACGACACTTCTAAGAATTCTATGATGTCACATGCAGTTTACAATAGACAATTTTCCCATTTGTTCATAATGCATATAGATAGCATTGATGTGTATTTTGGTTGCTTTTTGTTTCTGTTTAGGGAAAAACTAATAGCCACAGTGTACTTGTATATAGTAAAGGCTGAATACTTCACCCTTTAACTGCCATTGTGACTAGCAAATACTTTTTGGGGCAATATAACTACCTTATCAAGAAAACAGGTCAAAAGAATGAGTTAAATGATTGCTAAAGATAAATAAAATGAAGTTTCCTCTGTCTGGTAAGGGATGGGGGTTGAACTTAACAAAATTCTTTCTCCCTTGTTCTTATTTAGAACATTTATATTGTAAGCACTGTTTTCTGTTCTTTATTTCTTTCAATTAGAGCATGAAAAATATATCCTGTTTCAAGTTAAGCATCGACAGAACCAAAGCTCCCAAAAAAAATGGGTTCGTTCAAGGACGTTTACTTGTTTGTGAATTACGTGTTTCCTGTAGAGGGTCATTTTACTTCACTGGTTGGTATTGGAAAGGAAGTAAAGACGACAAAGGCACAGCTGCAAAAGATTTCTTCACAAGATACCCAAATGGCTGGTTCAACAGCCTCTTTGATTTCCTCAGAGTTACCACCAGAAGGGGAAGGGAAGTTGCACAGTCATACAGATCAAAGTGAAACCTACAGTATCTTTTCATAACCCATGTACCAGCACCCCTGCAGACCTCATTCTTCATTCAAAACGGAGGGACTGATAGCAGAATGCATCCATCAAGTGGGTCTCCACTAAAGAAAGCATCTCGAAAGAGAGAGTTTTTCTCTTTAGAACAGAAGGAAATAATGATATCCATCTAAAATCGGCAGGCCTCAGCTGGCGTCAGGGAAGAACCGAAAGAAGTCATAGCGTGCACGCAAGCAACAGGTGTGAAGCCTCTTAAAGAGTCACAGATAATAAGCTGGTGGAGCACATACCATCAAAAAAGGAAACGACTATTGACTGCTAAAGCAGATTATTTACAGGGGCTACATGCACGGCATTTACCTCTGGCTCTACTGTTCCTGTTCAGCAAACCACTCGCAACTCTACTGTTCCTGTTCAGTAAACTCCTGCCCAAGCCACTCGCATTACTGTTCCTAATCAGCAAACCACTCCTGCTCAAGCCACTGGCTCTACTGTTCCTTCTCAGCACACCACTCCTGCTCAGGAACCTGGCTCTACTGTTCCTAATAAGCAAACCACTCCTGCTCTGGTACCTGGCTCTACTGTTTCTGTTCACCCAAACAGCTTTCTTACAGGGAATGTTGTTGCTGGCCACTCAGACCTTTTGCAGTGGACGTTCTCTGCTAATTTCTCTCAGTCAATACCTAGAGGGAGATCTGGGAGAAATGCCTCTGCCTTCATGGCTTGTACTTTGGCCACTTATACCATCATAGAAAATTAACCCTACCAGTGCACAGCAGCCTTTCAATGGAGTGTTCCTAAACCACTTAAAATTGAAACGAGCCCTGCAGGTGAGGCTTCACAAAGTGTAAGATCTCAAGAGCTACTGAATTCTCGAGGGATCAACAGACCAACGGACCTGCCTTTCTTTTGGAAGACTGACAACCAGTGGCCAATCAACCAAGACACCTTTGATCTTCAGCAAAATAGTCCCTAACCTGCTACTGCTTCCCTTGTAGATCGTTTTTCGTTTTCCTGTTTAGTCGTCACCAGCCACAGTAAAATACCACCAATCTTGTCTCCCAATGGTTATGAACATTTGTTAGCATCAATAACAATTTTGGAACTTGCGTTGCATGTCTGCGTAAACACACGCAACTTCGTAAAATTTGTCAAGGCAGAAACAGAACTAGCGAATGACTCAATTTTCTCACCACCGGAGTTTAAGAAAGAAAAATAAAAATGGTGACAGTAAGCCAACCAAGGTTCACACAGAAACTTAGATCAAAGAACAAAGCATTGAAAGAGCTAGTGGAACATCTCTTGCAACTGCTGGCTTACCCACGGAATCGAAAATTGCCAGTGAGAAATCTTACCACCCTAGTCATCTTTGCAAAGGCCACCACACACTTGCTAAGTGCAGTAATTTCTTGAAGAAATCAGTAGAACAGCACAGTGATATTCGTGAAAACGGACTTTGTTATGGCTGATTTTAAAAGGGTCACATATTGAGTGTTGTCTTGAACACATGACTTGTGAAGAATGCGGAAGGTGCAATCACACTCTCCTCCTTTGAGAAAAACCCAAACTCAGCAACCTACAATCTGACCCAAAAGAATAATCGCATGTACACCAGCCAAAGAGGAAGGAGCCTCAAAAGGAAACAGAATGAAAGTTGGCCAGCTCCCAAATCATCAAACTCGAACATGGTCAGTAACACACAAAGCTCAGGCTTGTGCAACACAAGCTTAATAACTAACTGTCAGATAGTTGCAGTCAATCTGTTTCACAACATATTTTAATAGAGATATCGTACAGAGAAAAACACGAAAAACTAATCATCTCCGTCTTCCCTCCATCAAATTAGAATGTACGAAAAAAGCTTTTTATTATCATGGATATGAAGTTTTTAATCCTAATTTGTAGTTTTTATTAATAGCTTGTAATAATTTTTATCCTTTTTTAAAATATTTTTCTATTAGCTTAGTTAGGACTAGTTTTAAGTATTTTCAACATATTTTTATATTTCTTTTTCATCTAGGGCCGCTAAGGATATCAGTTTTTGTAACTGTAGGAGTTACCCTAGCTAAATAAAAGTATCTTCTTCTTCTTCTCCAATCCTGTGTACGCACTCTTGAAGGATGCAAGCAACATAACCTTCATTACAACCGAAATGCAAGAGAAACTCGGCATAGAGGGTGTTCAAACCAGTCTGAAGCTCAGTATCACGCTTGGTCTTCAAGTTTTAGAGGCAGAGAATCGATGGTCTAGTTGTACAAAGACTTTACGGACAAGCCCAAGTTTAGCTGCCAAAAGCATACGCTGGGGTAAGTATTCCACTTAAATGACACCAAATCCCAACATTGTAGAATGGGGTTAAGTGGCCGCACCTTAAGAAAATACGAGATGATGGCCTATCACGGAACCTGTTGCAACAACAGACAGCCCTTGAGAAGACCACACTCCGAATTCTACCAAAAAAAATAAAAAAATTTTACTTACAGTTATTCCTTTTAGTAAAGTTGTTCGCACAAGAAGTTTTTGTGTAACCAAAAAAACATAAATTTTAAAGGAGCTATAATTAATCACATTCAGAACGAAGGCTATTCTGAAGTTTTCTGACACTTGACAAAATTTTGGTTTTTGAATTGAAAAATAACATTGTTCACACTAAAGAGCTTCCTGCTCGTAGATGTTTTTGCAAAACAAAACAGCAGTTGGCAAAGTAGAAACAGGGCCTTATCTTATCCACATTCAAATGGAGTGTTAACAATATGTACCAGTTAATTCCAAAACTGCCCATCCCCCCGGGCAAACCAAAGCACAACGCTTCATCGAAAGGTGATCTTATTGAACCTACAAATGCAATACAAGGAAAGAAAGGTGGGACCCACAAAAACCCACAACGACAAAGGAGGCAAGTTTTTGCCCATTTAACGGAATGGAGTTTCTGTACGTTTTTCTGGAGAGGGTTCAAAGGCCCAAAGATTTTAATCAATAATCAACCAGCATAAATGTATCTCAATAATATAAACACTGTGTAATGAAAGGCTGTATATAAATTGCATACTCCAAAATCAGGTTGGATTGCTATTGACAAATACACAATAGACTAAAGTGTTGACAATGACATTATAATATGTATTGATGTCATTGTGTATTATCTGAGACACATCATCACCTTGATTGCACGTTTCAGACAACTGTTAAACTGGAAACGTAGACTTCAACAGGAAATTATTCAACCGCTGATGTGCCCATAGCTCGCAGATTTGAAACTTGTTGACCGTGTGGAAGTTGAGTGGTCTTTGGAGATTTGTTATCAATGGGAATGTCAGTGAAGAAAACATGCTGGAAGTGAAGATGGATTCGATTTTACCATTGAACGAGTCTAACTATGGAACTTGGAAGATCCAGTGTCAAATGGAGTAGATCAAGGACAGGCTGTGCAGCATTGTTAGTCTGACGGATGCTGAGGCTCATGCCAACAAATACAGAAAATTTGTTGCTCATCGGGGCAGCTCTTGTGATTATTGTGCAATCGATGAGGATGGTATTCTACACATAAGTAGTCGTCTCAAGAATGCAGATCTCTCTGATCAGGTGAAATATCCCAAAATTCTGCCGAGAGGAAGTCATGTGACCAACTAGTCATCAAGCTCCCGGGACTTGTTATCAAACCAGACCTCCCAGAAGATCGACTGGAAAGTGCCCCACCCTTTTACCTATTGTGCAGCTGACTATTTTGGTCCACTCATCGTGGAGGAAAAACATGAGGAGAGATCAAGCGCTATGTAGTCATATTTATGAGTATATCTTCAAGAGCAATTCATCTAGAGATTGCCAATTCGCTTGATGCTGATTCCTTTCTGAACGCATTCAGACGATTCACCATCTGACGTAGACCAGTTCGTCAACTACAAAGTGATCAAGGAGCAAACTTCGCGAGAGGCTGAAGAGAGCTTATGGAAACCTTGAACGAAATGGACCATGAACAAATCAAGCCAAGCCCCTTGCCCCTTAAAAGAACAATGCGACTGGATCATCTTTAAGATAATGTGACATGGGCGGCGTGTGGCAGTGCCAGATACAAACGGTACAGAAAATGCTCTCATCCTTTTTACAAAACAACGCTGAGCAACTTGATGATGAATCAATCGCGATGTCATGTGTGAGGCTGAGGCAATAGTCAACAGTTGCCTCTCACCGTCAATCAGCTCACTGATCCAGATTCACCGGAACCAATGACCCCAAGTCACCTTCTAATGATGAAGTCCTACCTTCACCGACTGGAAAGTTCAAGCCAGCCAATAAGTACCCTCCCAAGTGTTGCAGACGCAGTCAACATCCCACCAGTAGGGTTCTTTCGATATGCTTGGAACTAGGTACTTGCATGTAAAGGAGACTTAGAGGACCACTAAGAAAATTGAAAAATACAAAATGCATTCACTGTCTTCACTGTAAGTTGAAATGCTCTCACTTTTGCAAAAGCCATGGTAAATTTTGCTTGGTGGTAAACTCCTTGAACAGTTCAAGGAAACATCCAGATCTTTCCTTTTTCTGTTTTCCTTTGGAAGGGCATTTTAGAAGGCTACGGAAAAACTTCTGCAGACACAGTGATCCCGAATTCAAAAAATAAAAAAACCAGTCGATTTGCAAGTATATTTTTCGACATACTTGCCCGGGTGATGACTTTTAAAAAATTCTAATATGACAAGAGGTGAGCAAAAACGGTCCTTTTTACCTTGCTGTGATGGAAAATTCCAAAACAAACATTTGCTACAACGAGCAAAATCTTGGCATTAAAAGCATCAACTATTTAAGTCCTTGATAGCCATCAGGAGAAGTTTAAAAAAACTGCCAAGAGGCAGTATGAGAAAAGATATCTAGAAGAATCAGATCACAACAAAAAAATAACTACCAGTAAATCTGACTCAAAAAAATCCTTTAGAAAATAAAACACCAATACTACATAACATTGTATGACTCAATTTGTTTTAAATAAGATACTGTTTGATGGGCTAGTTTCACACTATAAATGCAGTAAATTTTTAATATTTTAAGTCAAACTTCAGAACCCAATACTTTTAAATGTTTTGTTCGGTATATCATCTATTTCAAAGATCTGTTTTCATGTACTGCATGTTGAATTTTCTTATGTCAGCAGACCGACATGAAGTATAAAAACAATGATGTAAGGCCAATGTTTAATACAGAAAAAATATATTTTTCAACACCAACAATTTGTTGAAAGTTTAGCAGAGCTTTTGGAACCCATCCAGATCCCTTTATGGTGTTTTGGGGTTGCAACATTCATTTTATGAGTTTCAAATGAACTAACCCCATTAGCAACCTCTAACTACTCTGCAAACTGTTCACTGCTGAGTGCTGTTTGTACAAACTGTATCACTACTCAACCAAAAGCACAAGGCTAATGCCACCTAACACCGCAGCATCAGCATCCTTTGCTCAACACAACTGTTAAATGCCACCAAGCTTAATGAAAAAAATGGACCCTAGGTATGGTCTCAATGATAAAGCCTTTTCTGCCATTCCTGTACATTTAAGGCCAATGCTTTCAGAAATGGAGACTGCCTGCTAAAGCCAACCTATCCACCATAGCCATATGCAATTTCACTGAACTCTTACAAGTTATCAATTTTATTGCAAGAATACAGAACACACCATTGAAGATGATGCAATCACCTTCTTATGAGAGACCATAGACCGGATAGCAACAAATGCAAATGAAGCAATTCAAGAAGGCAGTGCCTCTAAAATCCAAGACCCTAGGAATTATCCCTTGGCTAGCCACTGCCCTACACATCTTCAATCACACAATGGTTGAACTACTTGCTGGGGTCCAGTCCACACCACCTGACTCAAATAAGCAAGTGAATGTTGACAAAAGTGCCAGCCTTGGTTAAGCATCTTGAAAGTCAGGAGGGCATCTCATGTCAGGTAAAAAACTGAAGTTTATTTTAAGGCAACTCAATCCACTAATAATCTGCATCCATCAAATGCTTTCTCTATCAAGTGCCATGTTTATTACTCCATTGTTTCATGAACCTATACAATTTACATCCCAAATTAATAGAAAGTTCACTTCACTGACTAGTGGTTTGTGTTAAACTTACCAATGATCACCCTCTAACCTGGTGCTATATGCTCAAAAAAAAAAGAAAATAAATTACTTAAAATAATACCTCAACTTAAAATTATTTAATGTAATTATCTTTCTATAGTGCCTGCCCTACTCATCATAACAAGATTTGTACTTTGCCAATAAGCGACAAGAATGCTATGACTGTAGGTTGCAAATTCAAAGGTGGCAAATGCCCTACCTCTTTTATTTCTTCCCCTGAATTCTCTATTTAGTCTCCTTTTGTTCTTTAAGGAAGTGTCAGATACTATTTGTGCTAAAACCATTGAGCAGCCCACGAGAACAGCAGTCAAGAAAAGCATCCTTTGGTCACCTGGACCTGTGGGGACCTACGGAGCCTTTAACCATGGAAAAAGATGATTCACATCAATCCCTGGGCAGAATACGAGCACATCACAAAATCTTTGCAGGCAAATGATTTGAAAAGAATCATAGAATTCTGTGTACCCACAGCAACCAGCAAGTTTTAAGTACAAACCCAATCCCTATCCGGCCACATGTAAACAGTTTACATCAACAAACCCCAACTTGTCTTCGCACTGCACAAAGCATAAGCATCACTTCATTGAACCAGACAGTGAATACAAAGCAGAGATGTTTTCTCATAGCATTCTAGCATTCCTTAAATAATTTAAATGATAATTGTGAACTTTTATAGTTTTTGCACATAAACAATTGTGTTAAAGGAGCAGACAATAACATCAGTCTCGGGCCAAAGATACAGCGGGTAATTATCTACTTAGTGAAACTCTGTCAAAAAGATGGTTCATTTTTGTCAAACTAGAACAGCAGAAAAAGGTAGGAGGATGATCTAAAGATAACCATAAGAGAAAGATGCTTAAAAAAGAAATCTGAGAGTAAAACTGGAAAGAAAAGTGCAAGATCTTTCACAAGTGTACCTGGAGAGAGAGAGGAGGAACTTCTGGGTCCCCAAGTAGTGCAAGTAGTTACACTGATATTGTATAAAGTGCCAAGACACATGACAAGTGAAACAGCTACTGTTGTTACTCCTGTTTCTTTGACAATACACCTGGGTCCCACATGGCTGAAAATGAATTGGGGGATGGAAACATCATAGATGCATGACTGACCCTGAGTCCAACCACTTAGCTTGATCATTCTACTGCAAAGATCATGTCCACTTTTATAGTTGAGTAAGTCGCCACTGTTATGTCACTGAGTACTAATTTTCACAGATTCATCAATGTTATATGCTTATAAAGTCAGATCCAAATGTTTATCAGGGTTGTGACAAACATTCTTTCCAAAGCCAGGCAAGCAGTGGTACTGTGTATTAGACAGGGCTTCTGATATTCTGCGATGTTGCGATTTTGCATAATTGACCTCAAATCGCAACTTTTCGCATAGTTTGTCAAAAATCGCATAATTCAGGCAAAAGTGCAAAATTCGAGGAAAGAACAAGGAAGTATTTGCTTCTTACTTAAGTTCTACGACAATTTAAGCTTTGTTTTAAGGTGATTTACTTCTCAAAAGACGTTAGAAATCACCAAAATTGTCCGCAAGCGTTCAATCAATCAAACAGGCATTCTATGCATAGTTTTGCATGTCGGGGACCTGGTACTAGTTCTCAATAGAAGCGATTGCTTATTGGCAAAGAATAGCCAAACGTTTATGTTAATGGACCATTCACGATTGTTGATATATTCTCTGGAGATGTTATTTAATCCCGCACTGTTTTCAACGTAAGTGTCGGCGCAAAAACAGTTCGATCGTCGCTTGCAAGATGTAGCTTCTTTCGTTTAGTGCGAGACAAAATAGCCCATAGACAAGTTTGTTGTGAAAACGCCAAGTGCTTCTTCGAAACCGAAAACATGATCGCATCTCCCTGTAAATATTACTGCGAATGACAGGGCAAGAAATTATCCAGAAGGTACATTTCATGCGGACGATGGCCGGTTGTTTTGCTCTTTGTGTAACGTGGTGGTTGATCACCTTCGAAAGTTTGTGGTGGACAAGCACCTGGAAGCGGCTTCACACAAGCGGAACGCAGAAAGAAAGGACAGTGGGAAGCAGCAAACTCTCAAAACAGTGATGAACTGCAAAATAGTGGCTCAACTAGAGAAAGTTCATATTAGTCACGAGTGGATCAAAGTGTGTACCGCGGCAAACATTCCTCTTCACAAGTCGGATAACCCCCTGATGAGAGAATTTCTGCAATCGCGTGTTGTTAATGGTGGAGCCATTCCCAAATGTTCGCAGCTATGCGACTATTACCGTTTTGATGTTTATCAAACAGAAAGGGCTAATATGAAAGAGATCATCAAAAACAAAAAGTGGCACTGATTGTAGACGAGCTGAGCGACGATGAAGGTCGCTACGTAGTAGATTTCACGGCTGTGTTGTTGAACTTTGACGAGCTTTCCCCCAATGGCAATTCTGTGGCGTATTTGCTGGACACGCATTTCTTAAATGCAACTAACAATAGGACCGTGTCAATTAGTGGTCAGTCTATATTTGGAGGTCTTTGATTTGAAGTGGACCAATCTTTTATCCAACCCAGCTGTGACTTCAAACATTAAATTTCATTCTTCAACAAGTATTATTCGTCCCCATTATGAAGATTGTGGAAGGAATGGAGATCATCCTCTGAAATATATCATTTATTGATCTTCTTCCCTTATTGCTATCTCATCAGTTATCTCAAATGGTCACTTAAGTCATTTCTTCAATGTTACGGAAGCTACATTATATTTCACCTACCACCACAAACCCACTGACGCGAGTCTTTTGGGGTTCTCTTTGGGTGCTTCATGTTATTAATGTGCTGCGCACATTCGTCGGCCCCCTGGCATGTGGCATCACATTTGGCAAAGGCACACCTGAATGGATTAGCAAAGCTGTAAAGGCCTTCGTGTTCAGTGGGGGGTGTCCACCTACACCTTGGGTCCAGGTGGACAGTGTCCTCATGAATGGCTGGTTGCCATGTGCTGCAGACGGCCACAATGTCCATACGACGTGTTGTTTTCTAAATGGAGATCACACAGTCACATTATAAAAATGATAATTGCATTAAAATGCTATCTTAAGTGTATCTGTCTCACTTAGTGTTCTCTGACTTGTTTGTATTTCCTATCTTGATAAATAATTGGGGACGCATAATTTGTGCAGATTTTGAGTAAAATGTGTACACCTGCATTATTGCATGTCAGAGTGCAAACACACCAATGAGCCTAGCACAATATTTTCAATATTTTCTTGCTGCCTGTCTTACAGTTCCCTTGCCCCGGCTTGTTATTCAATGTTATTTTCATATGATTGTTGTAACGTAAGATATATTCTCTGATTCAATTTCTTAGTTTCAGTTCTCAGACAATGGAGTCAAAGGTACACAAGGCAGATTTCCAAGCAGTACAAGTTGATTGGATCACAGACAGACAGACTAAATCAGGCAGAGTAAAAAGGTATGAAAAATCCTGTTCATGATTTGCCCTTGCAAGGTGCTTACATTTACCTCTTCCAGTGGAGCAGGTGGCTCTTTCTTTCTGGTGTCGTGCAGCGCTTCATTTTTCTGCCAGCAGAAAACTCTGGAGGCAGATGCCTTTAGATGGTTGATGGTGGATTGTGCCTTGTTTTCCTCTGCCAAAGAAATTTCATAGACATCAGTACATCGATGAGGACATTATCACATTGGTGATGAAGGGATTGTGTCCTTTAAACTCTGGCAAGCAGTCAGTAATAATTGTAAAAAGGTTTTCACGGGACTTCCACAAAATTCAAACTAAGAACTATCTATTCTTTTGAGTTGCTACTTCCATGAGGAGGTACAAATGTACCCAACAACCTTTATTCACATGCTGTTGGCCACTGTCCAAGCTGCTATGAATGTGGGTTACAACGATTAATGAATTTTTTGACATTTTGCACTCTGGTCATTCCTTGTGTTTCAATGGAATTTAATCTTCATGAGTCGCTCAAGGGATAAATTCACGCCAAAGTTTGAAAACTCAAGAGTGGATGTTTCTGTCGGTTCCCAGCTGCCAGATAAGTGTCATTCAAAGGCACACAAACATGGCATCTCCGTACAAAGCTGTCAAATTTGAGTGAAATGTTCTCTGAATATCTTGCCTATGAATTACCGCACAGACCTGATTCTTGGCAAGGCATTTTGTACAGTCAGCTCCTTTCATTTCCCAGATTCTGCACTTTTTGCATCAACTGCTTTGCATTTTTATTTTTAAAGGTGCGATGGTGAAAACACAGCAAACTTGTCACCTTATTTGGAACAGAAGTGATATTCTCTGCCCCCTGTAAATAAATTGGTTTTGGCGAGTTGGCATCACTTAGAGAGGAGGAGCACAACTTGTTCATGCAACATGGATGCTGCGCCCAGCCAACCAACCAACTTAAGGTGATGAGGATTGTAGATGCGTTTTCCGGATTAATGACAAAGTTATTGACGGAGATTGGCAATTCTTAGCTCACCTCGTGCCTTCCTCAGTGGCTCGTAATTGTCAAGGAATGCCTGAATTCCTCAGGATACTCCTCCTTGGCATCGGCCTGAGTTTTCAGGTTCCTGAGGGGAGCTTCCAACCAAAAATTGAATGCTGTCAGGATGTTTCTGAGGAATTGCACCCTCTCCTCAGGGGTTCATAATCCTTTAAAGGGAAAAGGAATGTTATTACTTACACTGATGAAGAACAGTTTTTCCTCAAATATTGCAATAAAAGGCACATGCACTTCTTGCTGGTAAGTGATTCATTTCCTGATGACATCAAGGGCACATCTGCATTTGTGTATGCATGAGCTAAATTTAATGGGCATCCAAATAAATTGTCAGTGGATTACATTTCCAACCTTATTGCAATCTGCAATTTGAAATGGTATTGCTCCAACCAATAGGACATGTGTTAGGAAATTTGGGGTCATAATACCATTAAAGGAACCCCGACAAAAAATTCATATCGTTTTTGACTAATGCTTTTCTAACCAGATGTATAGTGTGTTGTCCCTAGAAAGCTATGCTCTCAACATGGAATACATAGTTAATCACAGTACCTACAACGTGCAAAGAAAGTAGTGTTCGATGGCCCGGGGCTAGTGGATTTTTCTATCGGGCTAGTGAATTCTGTTTTTAACTTGCCCAACGGGCAAGTGATCTTCTTTTAGGAATTCAAATAACAAAACATCTATGAGATCACTTCTGCTTCAAAAAGCTTTTGGGGCTAGTTGAAATGACGCTTGGGCTAGTAAATGTTAGCTTCAGCTTGCCCGAATGGCAAGCTGTAAAAATGATTTTCTTTGCACCCTGCCCTATCTTTCTCTTATTCTCATGTGCAACTTCGATCAATACCTACCAGGAGTCAGTAGACCAGCACTGTCCGAGTACTGCTCTATTGTCTTTTTAACGTAGATATGCACTACGCCAGACTGAACAGACCAGCCCCCCAGGTGACGAAGCATGTCCACCTGATTGTCAGAGAAATGACCGCCATTCTCCATGGCGGCCGTGAGCACAAATCTTGTTGCAAAGCCCTAAAAGAGGAACAAGAGTGTGATTGCAAATTCAATCTAGGAAACAATGTGTGCCCAAATAAGGTGTGTGACTAACTTGTGCTTTACATTGTAATTATAGTAAAATAAATATTAAAATGCTTGATACATATGTGAACACTAATTATGAAGAGGTTTTGCATAGTGAAAGCAATCATACATTCAATCTTTGACATGAATAGATAACCTTCATACTGGATATGCTGACATCATACAACTCTCAGCTGCACATGGACAAGATGAATTCAACACCTACATAATGCCAGAGAAAGAGATCACACCTGGAGCATCACAAGTCACCAACCTTGCAGTGGTAAAAGGAAGACTGTGCCTAAGAGGAAAGCCAGTGCATTCCAAAAGTGCGAAAGAAGGCCTCAAGAGTTTTGTGGAGTGGTTAAAGGCAAAAGAGGTGCCAGTAGTGCTGTTTGCTCACAATGCAAAATCATTTCATTGCAAGTATGTAATAAATTCTCTCCAGAAATGTGCAGCACAAAATTGAATCCCTCTTGTTTTCCTTCGCGCGTTTCCTACGTCACGGCCATAAGTAGATTCCAGTCCTGCTCCGTCATATCGCCCAACAGCGTGACTTTAGAATTCGACGACAATTCAATCGCAATTTACGCCCTTAAATCGTCGGTGACCCCTACTTTTCTTTCCAGAAACGCATTGTATTTACAATTATCTCTACATTGTCCAAAAATGAACAAATAATCAATGTGCGAAGGTAAAAGAAATTCACGCTTTCCGTCCGCGAGACATCGCATCCTACAATCATGCGGTTGCAAGGCGCGTGAAATGTGGTCGCTAAATGCGAACTTGTTATTTGAGGAACCTCACCAGTTGACTAAATTCGCTTAATAAGTCTACTTAAACCACATTTGGCCGAGAACATTTCCCTTCAAAGATCTAATTTCAATATTTTTGGACTTACAGCCACTGTGACCTTCTTCGCTAAAGAAGACCGATTTACTCAGAGTTAGGTGTTCTTCCGGGCATGTTCTCTCCAAAACGAAATCGCTGCTTCACTATACATGTTCCTTAAACAGTGCATCACAATGAACACACAAATTCCCTTGTACTGTATTTTCTTAAACGCGTGGGGTTCACAGGCTGTGCCTGTTTGCAGAAAATGACAACAATTTAACCAAGTGACACATTCAAACATTGATAAATACCCGCTGATATTTGATATTTCCATATTTTTGAAATCTCCAGGTTTGAGGTCCCACTCTCCAGGTTTTTCTGGACTTTTTTTCAAAACCTCCAGATTTCCATGCGATGGGGATTGGAAGGTCTGAGGAATACATTTGGAGGCCACACTTGTGTTTAAAGTTCTCTGGTCGCTTGCTCTCAATTTTCCATACATTTGTCTGCAATCCTTTTCTTGAGTAGCTTTAGTTGAAAATTCATATTTTTTCAAAATAGCAGTTTTTTACAAAAATTATTGGACGTTAGATTCTCATACAAACACTAGAGAGGCTTAGATTCTAAGACCAGGGCGACTACAAGTACGATACTGAGTATATTGCTCACGCGTGAACCAGCGTCATTTTGGCGGGAAAACGTGATAGCCGTCATTTTTCTACTTCGAGTTTTAGCGAGAATGCCATAGCGTCGGCAACAATCAAATGTAAGAAGTTTTATTATTTTGCTATCGGGAGAGGGCTTAACCTCCTTACAAATAACCGTACTAACCTTTTTGGTGAAAAAAAGTAAAATGAAGCTTTCTGCGGTGTCTTTTTTTTTTAAACACGCGCAAAAACTTATTCGTCTAAAGCTCTCTACTGAGTTTTTGACTCGGTTGCCTACCCATCCAATTCACTTCGGTGAGCGAACATTTGAATAGAATATGCTTTGAAGTAGATTTGTCACGTTTCAAAACTAATAGCAAATGATAGCAAGAAAGAAATATTCTAATACTAAACAGCGAACAAAGAATAAC